ACGGTGACGCTTTTTTGAGACATAAGTAACATGTTAAGACTAGAGCATCTTGGATTTATCCGCAAGGATACGGCTGGTATTCTTATTTCCATCTATCAATATGTCTGCTATTAACATATTCAACATACTAACCAAAATCTTAAGTTACCAGTAAAGCCTACAAGTATTTCTCTCCGGTTGAGTGACCACTACCTTCACCGACAGTGAATCAACAGCGATTTAGGACAAAGAGAAAGCTGCCAAGTGGGTCAAAGAAGGGCCGGCAGAATAGTAGGAAAGCTGCTTCAGAAATTTGTTCGAAGGTTTTTAAGCTACCACAGTTAGAAAAGTGTGCTCTATAGGGCGTCCAGAAAATAATCATGTTCTACGACGGAGTATACGTGATTGGCCAATACAACTCGGAGACGAAACAGGTGTCACTGACCCCAATTTTTAGAAAGCACTCAGTTCCATCAACCAGGACCAGCCCATTAACAGCTTGAGGTTAATATCAGTCCATTTGCCACCAACCGGTTGCTTATCTTCATCTGCACATGACTGGTAGTGTAAATTCTCGGGTGAATTACTGCATGTTATAGAAAGCAAGACGTCTTTGGAAATGGTTCAGGTTTTAACTCTGTGACCACTCGTTCTTATATCCACTGTAATTTATATTAGTTGATACCGACAGAATACCCATGAACATGCCTTCTGCGATTATAATTTTACTGATGGTGCCCAGCTCATGCAAAGAATCACAGATGAAGTCAACGAAATAGTTTGATCAAAGTACTCGACCTGACCTACAGATGGAATACGTTAAAACTGGCTTTTTACTATTCCAGGAGATTTAAGGCAGCTAGCTTACCATCCGATCGGGCATAGGATCCGAGTGTGCCAAGCTGGGCGATATTGTGGCCTTTGGGTCCCATAACCTTCACTCCTGACCTGCCTAAAGATGTATTCCATCCAGTATGACTTTAGTGATCCTGAAGTGGGCGCAGGACGAATAGACTGAAAAAGTGTTCATTGGATCTTCACTGATGTCACATTTTTAATTGACTACCAGCCCTTTCTCCTTCGCCCCTAGAGGATGAAAACTGTTCAGAATGCTTTGACTTTTTGCCCATCTGTTCCTTCCAAATAATCTAGTTCATGACACATGTAGTGTCAGATCATTCCATGAAATTGGCAGCCAGGGGTGCGGTAAGATTCAGCGCTGACACAAAGCTGAAGGTACATGGTCCGCCATCTTGATCACGTTACTTTGCGTTTCTTGTACACTATCCCCCAGGCAGTTACTAAAACCACTTCGGTATTTTGGTATGGTCCATCAAATTTACTATTTCACCTGGCGACTCTATTCTGTCCCTTATTGGTCTCGGACCTGTGGCTACATTACGAGTACAGATAGTTAGTGACTGCCTGCTACATTTGAAAAGTTCGCATCAGACCAACTTCTTAAACATGAAAGGCGCGTAGCTGTTAGAGACTTGTACCCCTTGACGTTTAGAGGGCTGATCATGAACTTATAATGAAATGCAACCCTCTGAACACTTTAAGTAACCAGCTCAGGCTAGGCTTTAGCAATAGCCCTAGAAAGGGTAGTCAGAAGCCGAATCTTCAACCAAGGAAGGAGTGACAACAGAGTCAAGTATATAATACTCTTACGTTCTTCGGTGTTGGTGATCTCTTCATTTGAAGCTAATCCAGCATATTTCGCCAGACTGCCGTGAACACGAACTCAAAACCTCCTGAAGGCTTTATCACCGCTATATAGGCTGGCTTATTACCAGTCCGTCTTTGCACCTCTCTTTTCTATAAGTGGTTTCACAAGTACCTGAACCAGCGGTCAACTACTGGCATATGAGTAAGCTGAGTAGGTAGAAGTTTCATCTGTTGGTAACCCCCACCGGCCACTTAGACTGAAAGCGAGAAAAAACGGTGTTGACTTTTGAAAAATCTAGTTTAGTCATCATGTAGTGGTACGGAGCTACATGGTTCACTTTGACAGCAATCATACGCCTGCAAAGTGACGAATATAAAACTTTGTGACCGAAAATAAGTCACCAAAACCAACAGTTGGGTGTTTAACGATTTTCGGCATCGCTACTGGCCTTCATTGTTTCAGCGGACTTGATTGACTGAATATATATGGTTCAGCATCAGAGTCGTCTGTCACGTTGCCACATTGAGTCGCCCTGCTCATTCACCATCCTGTGGTGAGTTAACACATGCACCAACGTTTCTTTATATGATCCAACAAATACGCTATCTCCACTCGACGACCAACTGGCACTTTTCCCTGGTCTCTCACTAATGGGTGTGAAGCAAGCATAAAGAATCAGTGATCACCTTGACAGCTTCTAAAGCACCATAACCTTGCACTGAAACCGTAGTTAGCCTATTGTGTCTGAGCAGTTTATGTTTTACCGAGGAAGCCAACTCATTCAAACGTGCTTAGCTGATAGGAAAGGGGTTGGTGTTAGGATTTTGTATATATCCCAGAAGCAGGTAGCAACTTTGTTGACGAACCTGATTTTGATTCCTTTTTCAAGAAACTGACGATAAAGCAGCACTCGAGCCAAAGCGACGCAAAATTCTCTTGTCACAAGATATTCCAAATTTTCAAGCACTACGGTTGCAGATGTAGTGAACTAAAAAAATATTTGTGGCTCGGGAATTGTCTTATTTCTAAAGTTTCCCCCTTATTTGTGTCCCAGTAGGGTCTAAAAATAAGCGGTGGGGTGTGTCAGTACTTACTTAGTACCAAGGGTGAAATTTGATGCCGTGGGCGGCTGACACTTTGAATGCCCATCTGCCAACTCGACAGTCACCAAAGGAGATATCCACTCTCTATTTCAGGACGTGGTTTCACGCTCCGCACAAAAAATGACCGCTGCTTGGGGCAGATTAAGAGGTAAACTTTGGAGGCTACCTATTTAGATGCGCATTATTGTGACCGACACGATGGACAGTGATTATATCTCTGTGTAATTCATCACTGTGAAGAATTTGGATGCATTGTATTCAAATTGATTTGACTTACACTACGTCCTAGCCCAGCCCCTCCCTTTGTTGTACGTCTCAACTTATTCTAAAGGAGAAAAATCATTTTTAATGCAGCAACATATTAGCCGAGTTCAAATCTGGAAGTGATCAGATATACAAGCAGTAAACCGTTCCGAGCACTTCCATTATTAAACTTCCTGATTTTATTGAAAGAAACCAGAGGATACCCAACACCATAGTTGAATACGAGAGGCGTTGTGTTGGAGCTCCATGAATTTCAGGGACACTCCCCAGCCTGCTTCAACGGCGAAGCGGAATGTCAGTCTCTCCGATGAAGTAGACGACCTCTGCAACATAGGTACTCATGCCCACTCACTGTAGTAAATTCTGCAATCTATTCTTTTTTAAAGGGTCCAGAACTCGTGGGCTGGTCCGTTTACCTTCAACTCAGCAGTTCACCAGCACATAACAACGAACAAGAAATAAGCCAGCCTAGTGTATCAACGACAAATATTGCAGACAACCAAGGACAACGTATAGAGCCTTGAGGAATGCCACTGAGCATAGTGGATCGATTTCTTCATGATCTTAGCAACAAATGACAACTTGTTCGTTTACCGGTTTCTTCTGCTTTTTCATGGATTCCAACTTTGTATTGGCAAGGGATTACTGAAATTTTGTTGCCAAAGGACTTTTCGGGAGTTATATGTGTATTAATGGGACTCCAGTCGTGAACACTTCTTGACTAGGAGATTCAAACAATGCGAAATTCAACTAACTTTCGTTGCTTTTGACTGACCTATCACTTAATTTAAATTACTTGGTTTCTGCAATGTCACTCTCTCATGCTCGGGGAAAGTTCCACTCAGTTGGCTTCTGAGTACTGCAGCAAACGTACCAGAAAATTCATAAAAAACCTACCTTCTTGAATTCTGTTAACTGAACAGACTATTCTTAGGTCTTTTAATAACGTAAGTCACACCTTCATCGCAGCAGGGCCAAATGGTTACTTTGCCTGACAAGTTCTACAACTCTGCTTCCGTCTGTCAGTGCGGTGATTTTGGGATGCTCCATAGTAGCCACAGTCAACCGAATCATTTGGAATACACTGGTGATCTCAAGGCGCACGTGGATAAAAGTCATACTCCCGTGTGCTGGATTTCAGCCATAAAAATAATCCGCCGTGCCTGTCGTGAGTGATAAAAATTGAAAGGAACTAAGACGCTACACGAATAACTGCCACAATGGAAAACATGCATACGGAGTCCAGGCGTAGGGAGCAGTTAGCATCCGAAAATTCAATACACATTTCACCTTCATCAACACCAAGAGGAAAGCCCTACTACGATTCTGTTGTAAGGCCCAGTTTTGTATGAAACGCTACTAGCGGTCTCAGCATTTTTACGTGTTGTCCCCACACCAGTTTTTACGGTGTCAGTAGTAGTCTATTTTCTGCTCGCATTGTAATGTAAATCGCTGATTGGTTAATCTTACTCTTACTGTCTTTGTCTCAAATTGACGACAAGGTCATATTTCATGTTTGTGCTTACTCACGTGTTTCGGGATTGATTATGACTATATTCTTGGAGTACTAAACCCTCTCATCATTCTTCTTGAATCTTCTTTCTGTTCGTCCCGGGGTTGCAGCCAGTGGCTCTTGTGTACTAAGCTAGCTGTCAGGTGAGCGGGCGTACTATATTCGTTCGGAATGTATATACCAGTTGGCGATCAGAAATGTTACAAACTCCTAAAACCGAAGCTCTCGTATGCCTGTAATGCCTTGTGAAGTAGCACATGGAATGAATCCAGGACATGTTCACAGTACCTTTCGGATCATTCACTTATCAGTTTTCGGTGTTTCACACCTAAAATTAAAATGTTATTTCTCTATTGTCGGTTGGTGCCTTCAGCGAGAAAATAATTCTCATAAAAAAGTCCCATCATATGCGTTGACAGGAGCAAGATTCTTGATTACGTCTATAATTGAACCAATTGGGAATAGCTTCTGAGGACTTGGCGGGTTTTTAACTCCATATGTTACAAACATCAAAAATGTACAGAAGACATTTTTGTTTCAAATACACTGTTCTTGGTAGAAAAAACCTCCATTAAATATCTCGTCTGTTAATTAATTATAAAGTGGACGTTAATTTCACTTTTTGGTAAGTATATTTCGTCAATTTTACTGAGATTATTGGAAACGTGTTCCTCACTGCTATTTTTGAATTTATTTTTTATATTAATGGTCTTAATGCTCTGTTGCATGCTGAAAAAGAGGAAACATCATGACGGAAAATTCTGTGGGCTTTAAGCAGATTTCGTCGAGTACACACAACTTAAGTTGCAATAATTGATGTTATTCACGACCTTAAAGTTGTCTCTTGGCTCTAAACTGGGAGCAAAATATCATACTGTATACTTGCCACTAGGTGGATGATAAGTTACACTAGATGGTGAAGAGGAAATGGAGCCCACATCATTGGCGATTAATTGACTCGGTGCCTAGTTAAAATAGTTGTTGAGTTTTCGTAGTGCTTTCACGCAAACCCTACAAACACTGTTTTGGCTTCCTTCATTATGCACTTCATTTTAGTTCTCGGGGAATATTTCCACTACCCCCAGTAATATTTCGTGGTTAGGTAATGGTATCCATCTCCATCTGTTAAGTGGTATGCGATGGTAATTTTGGATAATCTTACCGTCACGTAAAAACTATCAGCCGGTTATAGGTACCGAATTTTTTTATTCCGGCCGTGTAAGAGCTAATGGTGTATAGTCTGAAGCGTGTTCAGTATTTCATACCGATTGATTTCATTCGCTTCCCACTCACCTACATCACAAATATGGTTTGAAGCTTAGAGCTTCCATACTCTTCATGAGTTTCTTTACATAAAAGTTTTCTTGATCAATAAATCCGTGTAGCTCTTGTAGATGTCAGGTAATGTTAGGTAGTTTAGACCAATTCAAGGAGATTTGGGTGAAAATGTTGGCAGTTAGCAGGGCTAAAGCGAAGAAAATTAGGGCATTCGATTATTTTGTAGGGTTAAAGACTCAGGTGAAGAGTGGGATACTTTAAAGAACAATTAAACATACTTTTAGCTACTCTTTTTTCCGATATCTAGTTGTAGCCATAATCCAGGTTGATGGATGCTACCTTGATGTAGGGGTCTGATTTGCATATCATAATGAGCCAACGAGCTACATTGTCTGAAACGCTTGTTCCCCTGAGGTCCTACCATGCCAGAAAAGTCTGGGGTAGTGTTAAGAGGAAAAGTAGTTGTCGTTGTAGTGTAGATTGCTGCACTTTGATGTGGGTCCGAGGGCGAAGTCATACTGCTGCAAGCTGAACTAGACGTGACAACAGTATGGTGTATCCCTTGAGTGACCAGCAGTGCCATGCTGATGCTGTCTTTATAGGAAGAGGGTGGTGTCACAAATCTTTTTCTGTTGCAGGTACCTTAAGAAAAAATAACCTTCCACAGTGTGGGCAGCCATGGCGTCAACCGCCGGCACACTTCCAGTAGTATACAGGACCTAATCAAAATTAACCTTTGCTCATTAACTTTAGCTCCTCCTTTGCTTTGACCTTCTGATACCAATATTAGGTCTTTTACATCTTCACCAACCTCTCGCTCTGAGACCATTGCGAACAGTCAAATCCATGGGGACCTCATTACTTGTCTCCTAAAACCCAACTATCGATTTCATGTAGAAGCTATCAGTGTCCGAATTGTATGTCAAATTGGTCAGCAACCGTCGCTTCCTAGAACTCTAGAATCCCAAGCCATGGATGTGTACTGTGTCTCTGAGACACATTTATAATACCTGAGTATGTTTATTCACTTGACTTCACGTGGCCTTAGTAGTGGATCTTCAAAATTCACCTTACGATTATCCGGAGACCCAGCGGCTAGCTCTCGTAGATGTGCTGGTGTAGGGAGGCATAGCATTGAGTTGTAGAGCAAAAAAGTGCGCTTTTTTTACTGGATAACAGTCATCCATGTGCTGTTCGACTGAATGGATGTGTAAGGACTAGGAAGTGTCATGAGACTAGGTGATACCTATTCGTAATCTCTGTCTACGTACCCACTGATTGCAGTTCAGATGGTGCAAAGGATGTATTCTATGAGACACTTTCAATTTTTCGTCAGAAAGCAAAACGTTCATATGCAGTCATAATGAAAGGTGCCCTTAACGCCAATCGGATAGGCCTCCTGGGAGTATTTACGGAATCCCATACCAACGAACTGACAATGGTGGTCGTCTGTTGTAATTTTGTCCCGACAACCACATGTTCCTAGCCAACACTAAATTTAAGCAGTAGGAGAAACTCTGTCTAATATGGCATCTGCCGACTTCAAACCAACAATGGACACAGACAGGTCACATTATTATAAGTCATCGTTGGAGAAAATCGGTGGAGGATTGCCTCTTTCTGGAGTACTAGTTTGGACTCCTATCACTGGCTAGTACGGACCCATGTATGTCTGCGCTTTACTGGTCGCAGGAAATAGGCGATAGTAAAGCCTCCCTATGCTCAGTTGGAAGATGAGGACGCCAGGTACATATTTACGGAGGAGTTAACTAAGCATTTATCTGAGCATGACAGCAATACTCATCCTAAGGGGACGTGGCATGATATTCAGTCTATTGTAGAAAAAGCGGTTAAGACAGCTGGTAACTTACACAGGGAGGTTGGTAAACTTCATTAGGTTTTTGTGACGTCATCATCAAGACCAACATAGGACCAGGCATTAGTGCGTTACGGTCCAAGTTGCCACACCTCATATCAACACATCAAGTAAGAAGGCAATAAAATATCAGATAAAGGAAAGAAAAATCGGTCAGTAGAAGTAAAAGTAAAAAGTAAGAGAGAGGAAGGAAGAATGAGATGAGACTAAGCATAGTGGCTAAGATGAGGATAATGTGTGTATGCATCTGCACCACGACGTCATCCGAACTGATTGATGCGAGAAGACTGATTCCAACTAGCTCTAACCACGACGGATAGCGAAAGTAACTTAAACGTAAGTTGACCAAGAGTCTTCACGTCGATCGCGAGCGGTGGTAGATGGCAAACGAGAAAGAGGGAGAGATGGAGAAGGTATCAGCGTTGGGTAACACTTGGAAACTACTTAGGCTTATTAAAGATTCTGGCAAGAAGAGGACGATGCTGAGTGAAACCATCACCGAAAAGGATGGGACGATGATAACCTCTCAGGACAAATGGCTAGAACGTTAGACAGAACACTTTGAAACACAGTCCAACTGGCCCTTGGCAACGCATTAGTTGCCCAACATCTGGCCTGAACCTGAGTGGAACCTAGGTGTCGGTCCTCCAATTCTCGTTGAAGTTGAGAAGGCTGCATCGAACCTGAAACGATGAAAAACTGCAGGACCTGGCAGTTTACCACCCGAAGATTTCAAGGATGGAGGTAGAAAGTTGGTGATTGAAGTGACGGAGGTACTAGGTAGTGCATGGGAATCAGAGGTAGTACCATCCGGGTGGTGTACTTTCCTGATCACCCCAGTGTATAAGAAGGGGGAGAAATCTTGCGACAACCATAGAGGAATCAGTTTAACTAATATTGTGTCCAAGATCATAGGGTGCAAACGAAGGTACATACCTACTTGTGGTGGACGCCTGTAATATTTCTCGACCTAAAGGCAGCATTCGACTCTGTCGAGTATTAATTAAGTGTTGTGACTGTGCCTGTCTATGAAGGGGGTCTCGAGCTGGTGTGTAACGCCTATCAAAGTTCTCTACTCGAACTCAAGCAGCCGTGTCCAGGCTTATGAAGAGTTGTCATGTGAATTGACGATAACTAGTGGTGTCTGTTAGGGTCGCTCACTATCACCGTTTCTATTTAACTTCGTTATAGGCTTACTAATGGACATAACTTTAGATAGGTTTGACTTCGTAGGAATCGGTGTGTTCCAAGAAGGTCATCTTGTTGACTTAGTGTACGTAGATGGTATTGTTCTGCTAGGTGAGTGTTGACAAAATGCAGTATCTTGTGAAGGCGTTGAGCAGAAATCTGAGTATTTTTGGCATGGTTTTCACTGGGACCTGTGAAATGTAAGAGTATGTTGTAGGACTGTTCTGGCCTAAATACTCATAGTTTAATGATAGAGAGGGAGTGAAGTGGTGGAGTGTGTCGATGACTTCACTTACGTGAGGAACTGCACCATCCCGAACGGGTTGGTCGCTGACAAAATCTCATCTTGGATACATAAGGCTTGTTTTGCACTTATCATCTTGTGTCACCTGTGGCGCCGACTGACGAAATATTCGACTATCTACCAAAGAGGGAGTATACTGTGCTGCAGTTCATTCTGTCGTGTTGTACGGCTGTTAGACTTGTTGGTTGGAAGTAGAAGATATGTAGCGATTACAGGTGTTTGGTCGCAGATGTCTTCGTAGTATTGCCCACGTTTTGTGTAATCATCGTGTAAGGAGTGTAGAGGTCAAGGGAAGGGTACTAGATAAGACAGGGAATTCGATTGATGAGGTTGTGAACCTTCATCGACTGAGGTTGCTTCGACGTGTGTTGCCCATGCTAAACCACGGCCTACCTCAATGTGCCATGCTAAGATATTTGGATCAGTTTGGAATAGAGTTTATGGTGGCTGGTCCAAGACGTGGCACCAGTCTATAAATTTGCTGACTGTTGGTTTGAGTCGTGTTGGGAAATGTGGACTACTAGGGTCTGGAGTCCATAAGACTGTAGGAATCAGTGATTGAGAACTCTCGGTTACGACTGGAAATCAGTCACAATGACCCAGATATATTCATTCCTTTAAATCTAAAGCTTGAGTATTTGCACTAAGCGTTATCATCAAATTGTTCATTCTCTAACTTCTACTTTCTATCACTGCTTTTCCATCCACTTGTTCTTTGTATACTAATGTGAAGTGTTTCATCTTAAACCGATGCACTAGTGTGCGAGGTTCCGCGTTGATTTTGACCGTTTGTCTGTCTGACTTATGCATGATTGCTGTCCAAGCATATGCTTCGGAAGGGGCCTCAACAGTCCATCTCTTCTCTTTAGCGATAACTAATTGTAACATGGTATGTCTTTGTACACCACCGAGTTGAGGTCTGTGGACACCATGTTAAACTATTTCTGTAAATCTGAAGTTCATGCTGACTGAAAATAGG